ATTAAAATAAATAACAACCTAAGAAAAAATCTGTTAAGTAAAATAAATAATCATTAATTATAAAAGAAACAGTAATTAGTATTAGTGTTATAATTAAATATGAATCATGTTATTAAATTTTTGTTTGTATAAGTGGTAATTATGTAAATCGTAATAACTATTTTAAATATTTTGTAATCATAATAAATAGTTTCACTAAAATAAAACCTGCATGTGTTAACAATGTCATCATTAGTGTCATAATTAACATATTTGGCACGTTATTAAATCCCTTTTCAAATATTCTGCATTATTTAATAAAAATATTTTTGGAAACCTTAAGCATAAAAAAACGCTCGTAATAATTAATAAACAATGTAATTTGCCTTTTGGTAAAAAAAACTTGGTGTTTGTGTTTGATGGTCCCGTCAAGTTTCCTGGTAGGAATGGAACATGTCAATATTATTGATGGCATTAATGGAGAACTCGTCGCTTTACTCGACGTGAATACTGCACAATCCAACGTGGTCTCTGATCACGTCTTCTTTAGTGACGAGACTGATCCCGTCAGTCAAACTAACGTGTTTGACTGCTCTACTTCAGTCATACTTTCAAAATGTGTTTCATTCCGACGATACATTTACAAAATAATTATAGTAGGATCGTTTTGCCTATATCATTGTCTTTCATCAAGGATTCCTAATGAATTTTTTTACCCTGAATCACCAAAATGGTTTATAAGGTAAGCATAACAATGAGCGCAAAATTGGTCTTCAAGGAAATGGCCCAAAGAAATTTTCATTGGCCCAATACATCAAGCTACCTCCTCCAATACAAAGTCCTCCAAACATCATAATGAATTGAATTAAATAAATCATCAATTTTATGGAAAGACTTCACAAGTTTGCTTAGCCTTAAAACAAATATCATAAGATTCATCAAGAAACAGATGACTTTGGTTGCTTTTAACAATAGGCAATAGAAAGACTAATTTGATTCGAAGCATGTGTTATAAGTGGTAGGTCGGCACTGCTGTTCGGAATAAATAAGCACCCTCTTTCTGTTCAACCATACCAATGGAAGTTCTCAAAATGTGATCCTGTATCACACATAATTTATCAATTAGAGTAATTATGCACTACAAGTCATTGATTAAAGATGCCAAGGAGATTTAATTGCAATTTAATTGGGGCATGTAAAGAACATTGTGTAGTTTTAAGTTGGCCCCAATAATTATTTTAAGTTGGCCCCAATAATTAAAGTTCCTTCTTGCATAGCGCACGTAGTTGTTCCATTTGGAAGAATGATCGGTGAGTATAGGATAGCTCGTAAAGTAGTCATTTGATTATTTCCCATAATGTGATATCATTGTTGTCAAAAATTAGTGTAAAAAAATAGAAATATAAAAAAGTAGAGTAACTCCAAAAAAAAGAAGGTAGAAACACAGTATAAAAATATGTTAAAACGTAAATAAAAATGATTCTTAGTAAAATTGGGTAAAAATGGCACGTAGAAACACAAGTTTTTAAGTTTTTACTTAGACTCAAATTTATTTATTTTTTTTAAAAAAACAACATTTTTTCCAAAAATTTTAACTCAATTTTCTCTTTTTGTGTTTTTTGACTTATGTCTTATATAGTTATGTGTCATATATTTTGAATATGAAGTTATTCATTGAATTTTGAATAGTAGTTTGTGCAATTTTTTTTACATATATATATATATATTTGTATCTTGATCTTAAATAGTAGAAACTTTATGTTTCGTATGGTTTATACGATTTATATTTCTACCATTCTTTCCTTTTCTGCGTAAAAACTCGATTTTGATTACATTGTGTGATATGATGCCCGTTTCAAAAATTCATATATTTACCTAAAAACATTTCTTTACCTTTGGTATGAGAATTGTTTATGGTCGAGAGAAAGGCCCATTGTTCGTTCATCCATTTGTTGATTATCAAGAGCCTTGATTAATAACAAATAGTAGATCCTCAGGTTAGCTCAAGATAAGGGATGGGGCAATTTCAGTTGATGATGACTAGTGAGATATATGAACTTGGACTTTGAGCTCAAGTTTGTACTCAAGAGCAAATAGGAGATTGTTGGATTTTGCTCTTTCACTAAAGTCAAATAGGGCCTAGTGTGAAAGAAGAGCCCAAAAAACCTAAAGCCCATTCTGCTTATGGTTAGGGTTTCTTGGAACCCATATATATTCTACACTTATAGTCCTCAGCCTTTCTAGTCTTCACTTGGTGGTTGCAGAGGCTGAGGTAAGGTCATCTTTCTGAAAGTGAGAGAGTGCCCACACACTTCCCATTTCCCCTTGAAACATAGTCTGGAAGATCTGCCATAGTCCAGCTTAAGGAGGTTGTTCGTACTGCAGCGCTGAGGAGATTAGTTTGTGTTGTGACGCAAAGACTCTAGTTTTTGGAGCATTATCTCAGATCTGTGCTACAAAAGGTAATTGTAAACAATGATGATCCTATACATTTAAACTGCAATGGTCTAAACGTTTTTGCATGATCTAATTGCTCCTATAATTGTAACAATAGAGCATTAGTTTGACTCATGCATTTAATAAAGGGTGTTTTTTTTAAAATAAAGAAAGAAAGAAAGCAACTCAAGAGTTAATGGTCTAGTAGCGATTTAGTTAGATATCAAATTTAAAGTGTCCAAAGGATAGTAGTGGGTTTAATTCTGAGAGTCACAACTCCCATAAAAAGTGGAGAGATTCAAAGGCAAAAAAATTAAAATATTACTATTTTAATAAATAATTACAAATAGATGACAGTTTAGAAACTAATTTCGAATATGTAACAGCCATTCACGCCCAAATGAGGCGTGAATGATTCACGCCTAAATTAGGCGTGACTATTCACGCTCGGGCCAGGCGTGAACGCCCTGGCCTATATAAACCCCTAAATTTTCACTTTTCCTTCTCACACCTTCTCTCTACCTTCTCTCTAAAGTTGCTCTAACTTCTCTCTAGATTATTTGTGGAGAATTTCGCGCGGCGAAGCCCTGTCGAACAAGCAAGTCCTCATATATGCTTTATCAATTTTTTAAATATAGTATCATACATGTTATAATAGTAATTTAGGGACTTGCGCATATAACTGTTATTATAGTGATCTAGGAATATGTTAAAGTAGTGTCTTAAACCCTAGGAATATATTAGTGACTTAGGAATATTGTACACATGTAATTTAATATTTTTTGTAACACATGTAATTTAATATATTTTGTAACACATTTAATTAATGTAATGACTTTTGAATATATTAATGAAACCAATTAATTTGTAATTGTGTATAGTACACTATTATGGCTGACTCGTCATCGTCCGAGTCACCTCGGTCTCCATCTGATACTGAGACTCAGCCTGAGCCTTCAGATCCCAGGACACATGTGCTTCCAGAACCATACAGGTGGGATGTACTTCGGAGGCACACGCAGCACACACATATTTCACAGGTTGTGTAGAATGAAGAAATGTCGCCAGTGCAGGACTAGACGCGGTAAGAAGCAGGGGGACCATCTCCTGATGCTATTCCCGACATTGTGGCGGACTACCTGTCACAAGCTGGCTTCCTACATGTCGCACGCATGCGACATATTCAAGTACGCATATAAGAAAGTACCAGTGATGAGCCTTTTAATTTAATAATAAATGTGAAAAACTTAGTGTACTTTATAGTATCGTTTATTTTGATAGTTTTTCTGCATTTATTTCATATTGATCCCATGTTGATCAGTGCTCTGGTGGAGACCAGAGACACATACCTTCCACATGACCCAGGGCGAGATGACCATCACGTTGCAGGATGTTGCGGCTATATTGAGTTTGCCGACTGATGGGAGAGTGGTTACGAGGGTTACATCTACGGACTGGCGGGTCGTGTGCCAGGAGCTGTTTGGTCAGGCACCCGTCGATGCAAAGCAGCCTTATGGGGATGTTAAGCTCTCATACCTTCAAGCGCTAATTTTTAACTAAATTTTTGATGTAGTTCGCTAAGTGTTGAGTTCCGCATGATGCGGGTTGGCCTTTGAGAGCCTTAAAATATGACACCATGTCGACCTTCCATTTTCCTACCATTATAATATAAAACAACACGAACAAAATTAGAATGTGAACTCATTATTAACTATATTAATAAAAATACACAAAACAGAGTATGCATAAGCAAGTGAGACTGTATCGAAGACTAAGAAGTTAAGATGTAGAAGAGTTGTGATGAATGTGGAGATGGTAGGTATTTATATAAGGAATATGGGTGCCAATCACGCTTAGATTGGACAGGAGATGGGGTTGAGTCACGCCCAGATGGGGCAGAAAAATACAGTAATTCACGTCTTCATGGGGCGTGATTAGTCACACCTACTTTGGGCGAGAATGACGTGGCATTCACGTCTCATTTGGACGTAAATTGTCGAGTCCTTTTTGGGTATAACTGACTACTACAGATCCAAAATTAGTTTCTAAATTACCATCTATCTATAATTATTTATTAAAATAGTAATATTTTAATTTTTTTTTTGCCGAGATTCAAACCCAAAATATTAGCTGGACCCTTCGAGTGTTAACATGGTATTGACCACAAGATGCTTTTTGAACCCGAAACTGCTTCTCCATTCTAACCGTCATAAATTGGTGTCTTCAGTAGATTTTGTCTCCGTTTCAACTCAGAAGATTTTAATCTAGCAGGTTTGACTAGTGAGATAAATCCATAGAAGGAAAAGAATTAGCAAAATAACATAACAAGTCTGCAGGGTAGGGCAGAGAAGTTAGATGATGACTCCCCAAACATATCTTTTTTTCCCTTTCTAATTGCTATCAATTTTGAATGGCTTAAAGAATCATCAAGAAATTTAAGGCCGTGAATTTGTGGTTGTAAAATCTTATATTTTCTTGATTCTTTTTAAATTAGTGTAAATTAAAACTTCCCCTGAATGAACATGATGTATCTCTATAGCTTCGTTGCTTCGTGTTAGCTATACTCCAACGCTCTTTGTAAAACTATTTCATTAGAAAGCACAATATTGCTTCTCTTTCAAGTATAATATCTAAAAATACATCAAATTAATTGATCACCATGGTAACTGTGCCATTCTTTAAACATCTATTTAACAATCTCTCATAAAGTATTAAAAAGCTTTTTGTACTGCTAGTAGTCATCATCTTCATTTCTTGACCCAAAGAATCTCCTCACAACTGCAGCAGCAGCACCAAGAAACAAAAACAGAACTATAGTATCAAATCCACCTCCAATGCCTATAGCTACACTGGGACCTGGTGCAAAGAAAGAAAATGGAGACCATCCCCAGCCACCATAGAATGGCCCACCGAAACCATAGCCATAACCACCAACTAGTGGAGGCGCCACTGGAGGATTGACATAGATATTGGTCCTGTCAATTGACATAAATTTCAGAAATAAGATTCCCAAGATGAGACGTGTGAAACTTTACATTTTCATATGGAATTACTGAACAAGAATTCCATCCAAAGTATAAAAGACATTCATTTATGATCTCTAATGATACTCCAGAATATGAATATATATCCATTGACTATAACCAAATAGAAAAGATCTATATCTATTTTCAGCAGAACACTAAATTTTTATATTTTTATATAGAAACCTTCAAATAACATTCTGCTAGAATTGCCACGGTAAGACACACTATATGCAAAGAGTGAAAAACAATTTACTTAGAAATGACTAATCAAGACATATTCATGACCAGAACAACTTAATCCACTGCTTATACTATTAATATTGATACTTCAAAAGGCAAAAACGAGGGGAAACCGTTATGTGCTTTTTTAAGAGAAACAGATCAATAGTATTCTTTGAATTTTTCAAAAACCAATTTGGGAAGAGCACGGCCGGAGCTAGTTTAATGGTTTCGTCATGAATATCATCTCACTTAAAAGCTCAAGCTATTAAATCAAGGCTTCTCAGATTAGATTTTCTAACACATCCCATTGGACAAAAGTCCATTGGGCTTGAAGAATAAATAATGCATAAGTCTACCTATCTATACTAAGAAATTCCTCATTTAAGTATGGGCTTTATTAATCACATGCAATAGGAGAGAACTCTCTCATGCAGTAGAGATAATCATGTGTGGAACCCAACCCCTATAGAAAAAGAAAAAAAGAATAAAAAAGTAACACGAAAATCGATGTATGTGTAGGAGAGAAAAATTCTCTCTTACAACATAAGAGTATATTTTCCCTTTTAAGTATTTATTAGAAGAATGGAGGTGGTGTTGGTGCCCCTCTGATACCATATTATATAACTATCACACCTAAAAATTAAAGCTATTAAATACGGATCACTTTAATAGTTTTATGGCAAAATTATTTTTGTAGTTGCGGCAGAAATAATTTATCTGTCATATACACATATTTTCCGGAATACGATATCTGATCCTGATAATTAAAAAAAAAAAAAAAACATTGGGTCTCGCTTTTGTCTCTTTTTTTGTGCCTGCGGCATATATTTGCTTATTTGCTTTCTATTGACTACCGCTGCTGAAGAAAAACCGAACCCCATTACACTTTTCTAACAGACGGCAAACTGAAGACATCATAACCGTGTGTCTATCCATAAAACTTTAGTGCCTATGATATACTTTTCAGAAGCCAGTAGATTTCAGGCAAGCATATTCAAGCCAACCAAAAGAGTATGACCTAGGATGATGAGAACAATTTCAACTTTGGTTCTAGGAACATAATCAACCCAAAACATAGAGCATCGATTTGCAGTAATCAATATCAGCAATATTCCTACTAAAAATTTACCTAGAGTTGTTGTTGATTCTCGGTGAGGAGCGAGGGGCTGATGACCTGAAGGCCTGGCCACCAACTCTACCACCAGTCTTGGCGGCCGATGCATCATGAACTGACCCCAGTGTTAACACCCCAGCAGCCAGTGCAACTATTGCTAACTTTGCTATCTTGTTCTCATTCTTCCTGTTAATAACAACACCCCAAAACAGCAGCAAAAAAAAAAATTCATAACCAATTCAGTCAAATTCATCCTAGATTCAAAAATGAATGAAAAAAGAATACATCAAAGACCATAAATCGGGACCAGCTGAACTTAAGTGATAATGAAACAGTGTTGTTGTGTGTGTTTGATTAGTATTAAACTATTGATACCTTGGAGGTTGAGGTTGTTGTTGGTCATGTTGTGGGCAACTGCAATAAACGGTTTTAACTGAAGAGATAGTAACGGTGCTGCTTCTGCTGCTGAACATGGGCTTCAGGGTTAGTGGAATAAGGGCGTTGGTGAGGAAGCTTTGCTGTGAAGAGGCTATGCTGCACATTTCTGCAATCACCAAAATTCTTGCTGTAAGATGTGAATGTGAATAAGTGATTCTTGTTTCCTGTGCTCCAAACCAATCTTTTTTTTTTTTATCACAAAAACAAAACAATGAATCTTCCGATATTTCATTTTGCAATTGTTTTGTACGGATATATATCATCCTTTTCCCTGGTTCTCGAGTTGCCACGTGGCACTATGTCCACTTTGTTTATTATCATCATTATTAACTGCTATTAATACAAATTGAATTTAGAGATTTTTATACCATCATAATATCATGTATAAATTCACACATTATTATATTAATTGAATCCTAGTTAAAAAACCAAAATATTTTTTATGAAGGACTGGACTCGTTCTTTCCTGGGCTTTTAATTTTGATCTGGGTCCATTTACGACGGGCTTACTTCGTTGTTAATTATTTTGAGAAATGAGAAAAAATAAATCCAAAGTTTGTTAAAATGGGCCTTCCTTCTTCTATTATTAAACGTTTGTTAAATTTGGTTGGCATGTGGCGTAAATGGACCATTTTTAATTTCGCCTATGAAATTTTGTCGTAAAATTTCTAAAATTTTGGATGAAAATATATTTTGTGATACCTATAAAGTTTTTTATAGAGCCAAATCCAATATTATGAATATATAACTATAAAAACTTGTTTAATCTAAAAAATAAGGTCTTTTACTTTTTACGGTTAAAATTTTTTTAAACAAGATTTTTTGGATCAAACAAGCTTCTATAGTCATATACTCATAATATTGTGAACTTGACTCGCGTAACCTGAGAGGAAGCTTTGTGGGTATCACAAAACCTATTGGCATTACAAAAAATTTGAAAATTTTAGAGTAAAATTTTGAAAGGCCATAACTTTTGACTCGAGTATTCGAATTGGGTACTTTTTTTTTTTATTCCACATAACTTTTCGAGAGCTATGTGTTGAAAAATTTTCGTTGGAAATTTTTTGAACATTTACTCAAAACATTACCCATATACTTGAGTATATTGCGTGGAACAGCAAATACTCGAATATCCGGGTCCTATACTCAAGTAAATGTTAAAAAAAATCCAGAATGCAAAATATACTCAAGTATAAGATCATGTACTCGAGTATATGGATCGGTCAACGGTTAAATAGGAGTAGATTGATGAAATATATTGAAATAGGGGCAAAGTAATATTTATTTTGGTCGAAAAGGATACAATAGTAAAAAAGCCCAACATAAAGAGAGTATTTCTCACCACTACACATTATTACTAGCAGTGTCGTGTTAACGGGATACGTTGATCTATCCCTTTCCACCCTTTTTACGGCAAAAATAGAATTATTCGATTGTGCAGTTTCGCATACTTGCGATGTAAAAATATGCAGGAAAAAGAAAGCCTATGACTTGCTTTATAAATAGGCTTTTCTTGAAGCATCAATTTGTTTTATTTAACTATATATAATAGGTCAAATCCGACTTGATATAGACGAAGCCGTAAATCCTTATTAGACCGATTAACTCATTTACATCCCTAACAACTACGAATATTGCACGAGAGAACAGAGAAACACCACCCGTAGGAGATTAATTTCTTCCACAACCACCAGGGCACGTCATATTTAATCTGTTATAAATTAATTCACACGTTGTAACCATCACATATATTCAACATATGCTAAATCTAAGCTAGGACAAGTATACATATAGTGCTTTGTTTTATACATTGCAATATGAAATCGATTATATAATGAATAGTATGCTATTATAATTGGATTTAATGTTTTTGCTTTTTTGGCAGAAAAAAATTTCTGTCATACTCACATAAAAATGAATGGATCTCACAATAAAGAGAAAAAAAAAAATAGAATCCACCAATTTTTATTTGAATGTGTCAAAAAAAAAATATTTTTTCCACTATAATTATTGTTTATAAGCGTGCAATATTCAAAGATAAAGTTAAACTTAATAATAATTATAATCCTAACATGGATTTCCTCGCCGGACAGAAGAGCTGGATTAGTAGAGGTATACGAAATTTGAGTCACTGCATAACGACGATAGCAACCAAAAAAATTAAAATTGGATCTACCAATATACCATTACATTTATATGCTGAATTAAAACTACTTTGTTTTTTTCTGATTGAAGATTGCTTCTATTTAACTTGAAATCCAAAATGTTAGTGGTAACTTGAGTCGCGCAAATCTTTGATTCCCCAACCCTTCAGCTAAAAATGTCTTACCTTCCAAAACCCAAAATCCAAAAGTCTAGCCCCCCAGCCCCATTATGGAAAGTTTGTTGAGTACTTGAGCATTAATGATTAATGATATATATATATATATATATATATATATATATATATATATATATATGGGGAAAGTACTTCTTATGTGACTGCAGAAGGGAAAAAGTGCAGCAACACTTACTTTTATCAAGATACGCGTCCGAATACTGGTTTTTTTTTATAGAATCCGCACGTGTATCCTAGTGTTAAAAATTTACTGCAACTTTTCTCATCAGCAGTCACATGAGAAGCGACGGACCTGTATATATATATATATATATATATATATATATATATATATATATATGTTTGTTTGGTTCCCTTATAAGGGCCTTCAGAAAAGATCATTTGAGCAATTCACGTAAATGCTAGCTAGTTGTATCATCATTTTTTATGTAGCACTGTCACATAACCGAGATTTTGAGGGAAGGGGAAAATTGAGAGAGAAGGGAATCACAGAGAGGAAAAGAGAGATTTGTGACAAAATTCCTATGCCTTTTCTGATTATTCAACTTCAATAAATAGAGATTATGTAAAGATAAACTATAATCCTAATAGAATTTAAATGCAGCAAAGATAAACTCTTATCCTAATAATCCTAACAGAATTTAAATGCAACAAAGTTAAGTTCTTATCCTAATAGAATTCAAACGCAGTAAATATATACTAATTGTGATAAGTCCAAATCGCAAGATAATATAAACAAACTAAATATAATCAGCCCATCTTGTAATCCTTGAAGTGCATGGGTGGTTTGGTGTCTCTCTTGGGCCTTGTGTATGTTTGGGTTGCAACATCCGTCGGTCCATCAAAGAGAGCCTTGTCCACAAGGTTCTGAATGTTTCTAGAAGAATTGCTCTCAGCATCTGGATCAACGGATGGAGTATGATTAGCTGATACATGATGGGTGGTCATGATCATGTCTTGTGGGTTGGTCAAGTTGCCAATTTCACTGGTAGTAAGGGTGACTTCAGCCTCATCCTCCCATGTTGCAGTTTTCGGTGGGAGGTCTGACCATTGAACCAAAACTTGTGGGATGCTACGCCCGCGGCGCCAGACGGACCGACGAGAAACAATTGCTACTGGCGTGTGTATCGGGTGTGTCTCATTGGAACAAGGAAGGTTGTGGATCTTATAAGTCCGAGCAGCATGAAATGGACGAAGGAGTGAAATATGGAAGACTGGATGGACTCGACTTCCCGACGGCAGGCGGAGGCGGTAAGCAACAGAGCCAACCTTCTCTAATATTTCAAACGGACCAAAAAATCGAGGAGCAAGTTTTTGTGATGAACGTCGAGCGACAGACAGCTGGCGGTAGGGGCGCAGGCGTAGAAGAACCATGTCACCGACGTTAAAGGTAAAGTCTTTCCTCTTTTGATCAGCTTGGTTTTTCATGTGAGTCTGAGATTTTCTTAAATTTTCCTTTAATGACTGGAGTATATGTGATCTGTTGGACAACTCTGAATCGATGGCTTCAATGGAGGTTATGCCCATGGAGTACGGCAACAAGCAGGGTGGGGTTCGGCCAAATGTTGCTTGAAAAGGGGATGTTCCAATGGATCGATGAAAAGCCGTGTTATAGTGGTATTCAGCCCAAGGTAAGAATCGTATCCAATCTTTCGGATTTTCGAAAACAAACGAACGGAGGTATTGTTCTAATGTTCTGTTAACACGTTCTGTTTGTCCGTCTGTCTCTGGGTGGTATGATGAACTGTAACTCAATGTTGTTCCATGTAGCTGAAAAAGCGTCTTCCAGAAAGAACTAAGGAAAATAGGGTCTCGGTCAGATATGATGGATTTTGGTGGGCCGTGGATCTTGCCAATATTCTCCCAGAAGGCAGACGCAACCTTAGCGGCTGAAAAATATGTAGGAAGAGGCACAAAGTGAGCACCTTTAGTGAGGCGATCAACGACAACAAAAATCACAGTAGAACCTTTGGACGGAGGAAGGTGAGTGATGAAGTCCATGGTGAGATCAGACCATATGGATTCTGGCGGTGGTAACGGTTGTAAAAGGCTAAATGGTAAGTGGTTTGGTGGTTTTGTCCTTTGGCATATATCACATGTATGAATGAACTCTTTAACATCTTTCGTCATTGATTTCCAGGTAAAAGAATGGGAAAGACGGGCCAGAGTACGTTTAACACCGGCATGACCACCAACTGGCGATGAATGAAACTCTTGGAGCAACGACTCGATCAACGTTGACTGGGAAGGAATGTAGATGTGGCCCTTGTGGAATAGTATCCCATTTTTCATTGTCCATTCCCCATTTTTATTTTTGGATGACTGTATTTCCCCTATAATCCCCGTTGCATAGTCATCTTTCTGTAATTCTTTCTGTATGACGGTAGCATAGTTAGAAAGTGGTCCTGTGAGGGCTGCAAATAGAGGGACTAGAGGCTCCTTTTCTCCAGATTGTAGCCGAGATAGCGCATTGGCTGCAACATTACTTTTGTCGGATTTAAATTTAATAGAGTACGAGTACCCTATGAGCTTGGCTAAAAACTTCTGTTGCTCGGGGGTTTGAATTACCAGAGACATCAGGTGATGCAGACTTTTGTGGTCCGTTCTGATGATGAAATGAGACCCCAATAGGTATTGTCGCCACTTGGCGACACTGCTAGTAGTGGCAAACATCTCGCGTACGTACGTTGATTGGGCCTGCATTCGTGGAGATAATTTGCGGCTATAATAAGCCACGGGTTTACCATTCTGCAGTAGCACTGCACCTATACCACTACCCGATGCATCTGTTTCAATTTCAAAAGGTTTTGAAAAATCTGGTAAAGCAAGGAGTGGAGCTGTGGTCAGTTGGTCTTTGAGGGCTTGAAATGTTGTCTGTACAGTAGTGGACCAAGAAAAATCTTTCTGTGAAAGAAGATCTGTCAAAGGAACAACAATTTTAGCGTAGTTGCTTATAAAGCGTCTGTAATAGCCCGAGATACCAAGAAATGCCCGCACTTGAGTGACTGTTGTGGGGATAGGCCAGTCAGTTATTGCCTGTACTTTGGAAGGGTCAGGGGAAACACCATTAGCAGTGACGATATGACCTAGGAATTGTATAGTATCAGTGGCAAAAGAGCATTTTGAACGCTTAGCATACAATGAGTGGGTACGTAGTGTACCAAAAACCTGTCAAAGGTGGTTTAAGTGTTCAGACAATGAGGTGCTGTACACCAATATGTCGTCAAAGAATATGACCACAAAACGACGGAGGAAGTTTGCAAAAACTTGGTTCATTGTTGCTTGAAATGTGGAAGGAGCATTGGATAGGCCAAAAGGCATAACCAAGAATTCGCAATGACCTTCGTGTGTGCGGAATGCAGTCTTGTGGATATCTAAGGGGACCATGCGAATTTGGTGGAAGCCAGATCGCAGATCTAATTTTGAGAAAACTTTCGACCCATATAACTCATCTAGCAATTCGTCTATGGTTGGCATGGGAAAATGGTCACGCACGGTGATTGCATTTAAGGCACGGTAATCAACACAAAATCTCCAAGTGCCATCCTTCTTCTTAATTAGGAGCACTGGGGAGCTGTAAGCTGATTGGCTGGGTTTGATAAACCCGGAGTGGAGAAGTTCATTTACCATCTTTTCTATTTCATTTTTCTGGAAGTGATGGTAACGGTATGGTTTAACTTGCACTGGTTTGGAATTGGGGTGGAGGTGGATTTTATGGTTAGTGGGGCGATCTGGAGGTAGGGAAGTAGGAGTGACAAAGATATCTGGGAATTCATTTAAGAGGGCTTGGATTGCTGGTAAAGGGTGTATGTCAGGGGAGATTTGTGGTTGAGTAAGTGATAGTGGGGTAGAGAGGCACATAAAACAAGCAGAGACTGATTTCGCAGCAACCATTTGATTTAATTGAGAAGATGATACCGTATTGAGGTGGTGCTGGTTTTCCCCTTGAAGAGTAATTGGAGAGTTGGCAATTTGGAAAGACATTGTAAGCTGAGAGTAATCAGTTACTATTGGTCCTAGAGTGGATAGCCATTGTACACCCAAAACGATGTCTGCTCCTTTTAAGTCGAGGACATAGAGGTCAACGGTAAATGTATGGGATTGCATGGATAATGGAATAGAATAGCAAGCAACGGTACATGAGAGACCTTCTCCATTTCCGACTTGAACCACAAAAGGGTTAATGTGTTGCATTACTAGAGATAGATGGGTAGCCATTCTTGCTGTAATAAAATTGTGGGTGCTGCCACTGTCTATTAAAACTTGGACGAGTTTACCAGCGATAGAACTTGTTAGGCGAAAGGAACGGGTTGATTGGTGACCAAACAGTGCGTTGAGGCTAATTTCGGGACAGGTTCAGGTTGGGGTAAGTCATCCTGGTCAATGGTTGGGGGTTGGTCCTCTTTAGAATCTTCCTCTGTGCCTTCTAAATATAACAAAACAGCTTTCCCTTTACATTTATGGCCAAATATGTTTTGCTCATCACAGTTGTAGCAGAGGTTCTTGTCACGTCTAATTTGCATCTCAGCAGCAGTAAGCCCTTTGATTGGTAGGGTGGTTGTGGAATTGCTAGGTTTAGAAGTAGGCTGTGATGGTGATGGTTGGGTAATTTGGTTTAGAATTCCATGGTTTGAATGACTTAGAGTCTGTTAGTTGATCTTCGTAGAGTTTTGCCAATCCGAAAGCTTCATGGTGGTCATTGGGTCGGTGAGTTAAAACTGCACGCCTAATGTGGGGTTTTAAGCCAGAGATGAAAATGCTGCGACGAAGGGTAGGAGATAAGCCTGGTACTCTGCAAGCAAGGGCCTCGTAAGCTTATTGGTATGCAAGAACTGATCCTGTTTGTTGTAATTTCACCAGGGAACCTGCAGTGTCATCAAACTCTGAAGGACCAAATCGATGGTGAAGTGCGGCAACAAAAGAATCCCAATCGGGAATCAATCCATCACTAAACATTCCTTGGAACCATCTGGAAGCAGGTAGATCCAGGTGGAAGGACGCTATTGTTAAACGGTCTGCCTGTGCAATGTTATTATAATTAAAATAACGATTTGCAACAAAAATCCAGTCTGTAGGGTCTCCATCCGCAAAACGTCGAAAATCCAATTTTATGGATCTGTTTCTGTTCCCATCTGTTGCCATGCGGGGTCCATGGCCAAGTATTCCAGCGTTGTTCTGGAATGTTTGTTGGGCTTCAGTGAGGCGGTTTAGCTCTTGATGAATAAGGGCAAATTGATGGTCTTGGCTTTCTTGTAATCGAGTTTGGCTTTCTTGACGAAGCAGTTCAGAGGCGTTGAAATTTTGTTCAAGTGTGTCTAAATGTTGGGAAACGTCTTTAAGACGTGTATTTTCTGCCATGGAAGGTGAGTATCAAGATGAAAGCACCAATGTAGCACTGTCACATAACCAAAATTTTGAGGGAAGGGGAAAATTGAGAGAGAAGGGAATCACAGAGAGGAAAAGAGAGATTTGTGGCAAAATTCCTATGCCTTTTCTGATTATTCAACTTCAATAAATAGAGATTATGTAAAGATAAACTATAATCCTAATAGAATTTAAATGCAGCAAAGATAAACTCTTATCCTAATAATCCTAACAGAATTTAAATGCAACAAAGTTAAGTTCTTATCCTAATAGAATTCAAACGCAGTAAATATATACTAATTGTGATAAGTCCAAATAGCAAGATAATATAAACAAACTAAATATAATCAGCCCATCTTGTAATCCTTGAAGTGCATGGGTGGTTTGGTGTCTCTCTTGGGCCTTGTGTATGTTTGGGTTGCAACATTTTACCAGCTGACAAAGGTCTCAAACAGTCTCATTAATTATGCATGACTTTGCTGGTCCAAAAAGGACAGTTTGTAGAATGCGTAAACGAGGCCAAAGCAAGTGTTCAGATAGGTGGTACTGGGAAAACAAAGAAGAATATTACACGCAATACCTTATTTTTATTTTTATTAAGTATCATACAAATGAAAAATATTAAGTTACCTGCTATTACTTTAAACAGACAAATATTCGCAGTTCTAAATGACCATCTAAACTAAAAACTCAAATTAACCAAACTGCACTGTCATCCATCTTATATGTGGCCATTTGTGTGTGCATATGCGTAAGAAGAATATTTATAAACTAAATCCTCTTCATTGCATTGGAGATAACTGGAGAAAGAACCTTAGTATTCTTTCTTCGAGTTTTTTTTGTTCCCTTCTTTTCTCTCCTAAACATGTTAACTTGAAATACCCAAAATTTCCAAAACCATATTCAAATTACAACAACAATAAAATATGCATGCTATAGTTTCTTTGACAATATATCTTGAATTTAACATAGTTTATGGCTTTGTGGAAATGCAAGACATATTAATCAACGTGTCTCTGCCAGCAGGCATTGAAGAACGTTCACCTGCATTTGCAAACAGCTTATATAACTTTCTACTTCAGAAACCATTTGTTCATCACACATCTCTTCTCCTCCAGGTATCAACCTTCTGAGGCTCTTGAACTGGTTGTTGATGTCCTCATCTTCATTATCTTCTTTGGTTAAATCCTTTTTCATTTCAGGCATGTCCTTGCACTTAGACTTGCTCCCCAAAATCTCCTCCTGAGACTTTGAGCTAGGGTTTGAAGAGAAATCCAGTGGGACAATTTCATTTTGGTCATAAATCCTTGATGAACCTTCACTACCAGCCTCATTTTCAAGAAAGCTAGTGCTTGTAGCTACATTGACATGATCCCTTTGAATCTTCACTTTAAGGCCATTACTCCATGCAAAACCTTGGGCTGAGAAGACCATTGCCATGTCCACTTCATACTTGACAACATTCATAATATCAAAATGGCTGTTATCTTCTGCAGAACCCTTTTCCCTTATCTTCATCAAAGCTGGAACTAAATAGTTCATATAGTTTCTAGTAAACATAGATTGCACTCTTTTGTTCGGTTCCAAAGAGTAAACACGTCTGCGTTTAGCTGGTTGTCCCTCCATTTAATTTAATCCAAGAAATTGGACAATAATGCTGCCACCAAGAGGAAGAAGGTTGGGGGTGATGAAATCAGAAAGACCTTTTTGTTCTCTAAGAAAATAAAAATAAAAAGTTTAAGTAGTAAAAGGGAATATTAAAGAAGAGGAAGAAGAAGGATTGTTGGTGATAGTGGAAGAAGTTATGGGATATATAAAGGGGCTAAGACAAAGCAAAGTAATAGGACATAGTGAAAGTAAGGTAGAGACACAGTTGGAGCTTGGTATGCTAAAACAGAATGGAGGTAAAACAAGCTTATAACTAGATAGTGCTGGTTCTAGAGAGGTTACTCTTGAAGCCAGTTCAAGTTATGGGCTCAGGAACTGAAGCTCACCAAAGTGTCCTTCATATATAGGAGGGCTAGCCCACAAAATAATTGGAGTGATAAGGAAATTCAATTATGAATATTACAACCTCAACCAAGTAAGAATGTAGGCACAAGCAGAGAAAGATGACCACAGGCCTAGCTAGAAACTGAATCCAATGTGAGAGTGATTATAGGGAGTCATCACAAAGATTTTGAGTGCAAAATGTTGGGAGCGGTATATTTATTTAGAAAGGCACATGGCCTCACATGCTTCTTGCTTTTCACAACTACTACTCACAGAACGGAGTACTCTCTCCCATGTGCACTAGAAAACAAAGAGACTAAAACCCCACTATAAATGCCCTCACATGACTCTACCTATTTAAGTGGTGTACTCTTTCCCTTTGCTCTTCCAGGGTCTCCCCTACTTATAAAGCTTTTCCCCTTATTTCAAATCAACCAGCTCATCCTGCTATGCTACCCCTTTTTCCTCTCTCTCTCTCTCTCTCTCTCTCTCTACAGTTTTTGTTTCCTTTTCCAAATTGTTGTTTTCCGTTCGAATATTTTTTAATTGCTACGGGTTCCAATAGACACACCACCACAGTATGAAAGTTTCATAATTAGTGATCCAGCAATAATCCCAAATCAACACTATGCTGTATATTCTCATAATATATATGGGACTGTATATAATAGCTAGTACCATAAATTTAGCATGATAAGAAAGTGTATGCTTTGAAAGGGTACACAAAAAATTTAAAGTCCAAAACCGAAATGTTCCTACTCTAATGGGATGGACACAAAGCTATAAATCTAAAACTTGGAGTCGTGTAAATAAAGTCAAAAAAATCTTGTCTTCATTGAGAAAAAGCGAAAAAAAGAAGGTTCATGAGGAAGCTAGATAGATAACTTGATCAAATCCTTGATCTTCTTGCTTCCTAATATAATCACTCGTCCTATGAGAATATTCAACCCATATATGTATTTTTTATTCCAAAGGGGAAACTGAAATAATAAAGAAGTAATAAAAGATGAGAAAAAAGAAGAATAAGAAGATCAAGAAGAAAGTTAGCTCCTTTTGCTTTCAGAGGATCCTATACCTGATAGATTCCAAGTCTAGAGTAAAACTAAATGCCAACCACCCTTTGAACATTTGTGGGGACACGTATGCATGTGCAGAGTCTCAGAATTCAGATAATTAGCATAAGGTACGCTTCTGATTCTCATAGTTAATAATTGTTACTACTATTGATGATGTTATTCTACCTGAGGCAGAAACAGTAAGACTAGGAAAATATTCATTTGTATTACATCTCATAGCTATGGATGACATAACCAACTGTGTTTTTTTCATTGGGTGTGGCCTATTGCCATGTCAAAGTTCAAAAGCAAGCATTGAATTTGCCGTGCTAGGAAAGAGATGAGGCATTAACATTAATTGAGTGTTGGATCAGTACATGAGAATGCATTGAAGAGTCATACACAATTAACGGGTTAGTGAAATTGTCAGAGGGAGATATTGACTGGTCTATGGACTATGGTGATAGCATAATTCGTGAATTGTGATGTGAGGATGGATAAATAGCAACACAATACTCATTAAAAAGAGCCTCGTAATCAGATCATATATACATAAATTGGGAAAAAGAAACAAATTTTGAAAGAGATGGTAATTAAAGTGACATATATAGATGGGGAGATTTTCACAAGTGGACCAGTGATTTCAGCAATTTCATCTTAATTTATTAGTTCTTCATACCTCTTCAATTAATTTCAGCATACCAGCTCAATGTCACCCCAAAGTCAATAGTGGTTATGCATACTTATTTTTCTGTTCTATATATACTTTTAGTAGCGTAATATTAATTTACTTATCAAAGGAAATAATTGAATAACTTATCAACGATGTAGTGATCATAAGAATTTGGTTTAATAAGTAATTCTCTTAATGAAATTGGAAAGCAGATTTATGACTTGACTGAAAAACTTTTACCGAAATTCCTACCAACCTAACCATATATAAAGCTCGTTCTTACGAGTAAATAATAACCATTAGAAATAGTATAGTCGCATATGCAACCAGGTTATTTTTCCACTATATGTAAATAATCCATCTATATATATCAGTGACACACAAAAAAAATAAAAAAATAAAAATTACAAGATACGGTTGGATTTAGAGGGATACCATGTGGAACTTGGCTCATGAAGTTGGGTTTTGTACTTTAGCCTAATTGGGTAGTGTAGTTGTAGTTGGAACAGTGGCTTCACGTGTAAAGTATACAGGTTGACATTAATGGGAACAGTTGAAGCATATTGTAGCTCAACACAGGGTCGTGTTGCCCTCCAAACGAAAGGCAGGGATTGCACCACGGCCTCCAATTCAGGATCACAAAGTTGTCTGTACGGACTCTATCTTTTATTCGGTGGAGGAGATTGAGAACGACAATGCAATGCTTTCTCACCAGCTGATATGTGAGGCCTGAAAACCAGAAAGAGGTAAAATATATATAATATTTGCTCTGCTCACTTTGATTTGCTAATGACTTCACACGAAGCTTGTTTGAGCGGCATATCCAAGTATGACCACATCCTCTACCTCCTTGGATATCTTAGATTTACAATTGCAATGGCTCCACCCGTGAGCTAATTATATATATATGAAAAATATTTAGATAAGGATATTTACAACTATCATTTATAACTGTGTTCTTCCGGGAGAAATTATAACATTAAAGTTGTTTTTTCTCTCTCTCCGCGTCAAGAAACAAATTCTGTAGGAGAGAAAAAAAAAATAACTTTAATGTTATAAGAGTAAATACCCTTTTTCGTCCCTGGAAATATTTGCGAAGCACAATTTAGTCCCTCAGTTTAAAAAAGTCACATTTTAGTGTCTAATTTTTGAAAAAAAGGGACACGTTTGTCCTTCTGTTACATGGATTGTGACGACCCTGTTGACGGAGGCCAGGTGGAACGTTAAGTGGCTGACTCACTAACGTCCTGGCCACGTGGATAGAAAGCGACGTCGTTTAGGTAGATGTCTTGTGTCTATCCCAATGTTTGGACAGGTGACCCTTGCATGAAAGGGTCAGTGACCCAAATTCGTCCCTGACAAATTAGGAACCCTAAATCAGCCTAAGCCATGAACAAAAAAACCCCCAAAAGCTCCCCACGATGAAGATTGAATAGAGTGTCAAGTAGAAGGTGTTTACTGGCTATTTTCTGGTGCGTAGAAGAAGATGAGTATGTCATCTGGCTTGGGGGGATCAAGTGGGAGTACGTCTTTTGGTTGTAGAACAAAGGGACTACCTAGCGGTCGAAGGTGCAAATGTGGGAGGCAAACAATTGTAATGTCCCACATCGGTTGGAGAGGGGAACGAAGCATGCCTTATATAAGGGTGTGGATACATTTCCTTGTAGGAGGCCTTTCGGGGTAACCCGAAACGTAAAACCGTGAGCTCGACAGTGCTTGTGCGCGGGGCAGAGCGGACAATATCCTGCTACAGGGTTTGAGGCTATTACAAGTGGTATCAGAGCAGGGCCTCTCTTCCAGTACGGTGTGGTTCGAGGACGAACCAGGCGGAAGCTGGTGGGCATGTAATATCCCGGGCGCTGACGAGGGCGGGGAGTGATCGCCGGTGCGAAAGGGCATGGACAAGGAGCGGCTCCTGGCAGGCTTCTAGGGACGGGGGTACATGAATGAATCGAATCAACACCCGAAAGAGAGGGATTCCAGAGGTTGTGCTGGTATGGGACGGTACAGTTGGGAATGGCTTATAAGAATTAATTGGTACTACCTATACTAACAAGATGCATCTACTTTTTGGTAGCCCGGATCGGAAGAACTCCACAGTTAAGCGTGCTTGACTTGGAGCAATTCTGGGTTGGGTGACCTCCTGGGAAGTTTTCCCGGGAAGTGTGCGAGTGAGGACAAAGCACACTGAAAAGTGTCGTGTTAGTGTGTGGGGACAGTCATTGATTCTTGCAAGTGGTCGGGCGTTACAAGTGGTATCAGAGCCTGGCCCTGGACCGGTGTGTACAGCGGGGACGCTGTATTCCCAGTGGGGGAGGATGTAATGTCCCACATCGGTTGGAGAGGGGAACGAAGCATGCCTTATATAAGGGTGTGGATACCTTTCCTTGTATGAGGCCTTTCGGGGTAACCCGAAACGTAAAACCGTGAGCTCGATGGTGCTTGTGCGCGGGGCAGAGCGGACAATATCCTGCTACAGGGTTTGGGGCTATTACACAATCGTCTATACCTCCAAAACAGAGAGAAACCCAAATAGGGCATTCTTTGGGTGCCCTAATTTCAAGGTATACATTTGTAAATTGAGTTTTGATAACTTGGAATATTTGCTTACGGTGGACTGAAATTTTGGCAGGATAAGAGGCCCTTTTGTAATTTTTTTAGATGGGTAGATGATGTATGTAATGAAAGCTTGGAGCTTGAAGATGGAAGAATCAACAAGGTGGAGTTGGATGTTGCTGAAATGGATTTCAAGCTGAAGCATGTGGACATGATAATCAGTGACCAATTGCAAGCTAAGTTGAATGACCATGGTGTGAAGATTAGTGAGCAAGAACTGAATATCAAGGTGCAGAAAAGAAAGCTGAATGAGCTATACCTGAAGATGGTGGAGGAGTTAGATAGGATGGACAAGGAAATTAGGCATGTTGGTAGGGCAGCTAGGGTCTTAGTTACTACTTGTGTAGGGTTTTTGATGATTTATTTTTTGATTGCAATTGTTGTAACAATTAAATGTAGTGATCGAAATGTTTTTTTTTCTTCAATGAAATGTAATGACAATGTAGTTCTGTTTGGTGATGATTAAAATTCACAAGATGCCATGATTATATGGCTTTGTATTTCTGTTTTATGTGCTATAAAATGTGAAATTGTGTATACTCGACCCTTTCATGATATACTAAAAATATGGCAATAGCAATTGTTACTGAGTTTTGGAGTAATACAGCCCACATGGCAATGAACATATGAAGTTTAATACTGTTATGATTACACTGTCATGATGGGGCATAAGCTTTTTTTATCTGTATATTGAGGGTGGACATTCCTTATGTGGTGGTGCATGGACATTACATACAAATGACAGTTGCATGTAGTGAAATATCCAGTCAAATCCTTGTGGCAACTGGGAGAATGAGAAGTGGATAGTGGTATGTAATGATGGAAATAAAACCCAATTGGGTCCCTGAAAATTTGCATCAGGGGCTAAATTAGTCCCTGAAAAATTCCATCGGGGCCCTATTTGGTCCCTGATAGTCAAAAAATGGACATGACCTGTTTACAGCAAACATGGCCTGCATAAGTAGCAACCACCAAACAACAAACAACAAAGAAACTAACAGTCCTGCATTGATAGGAAATATGACCTGCATATGCAATAGACAAAATTTGAGAACCGAATTCCCAAGGCAGCAAACATGACCTGTAGTGAAATTATAGTCTTGTTGGTTGACAGTACACAAACATAAACCAGCAAAAATACACAATGGTAGCAATGGAGAGACATATTGCAGCAAATTTGATAGTACACAAACATATGAAGTTTAATACAGTCATGAACATTGTTGCCTATAAAACAAAAAGTGAACCCCTATACAAAAAACTATATCCAACAATCATTCAACACCCGGTGGCGGAGGCTTGTAAGGCTCATCTTCTACACTGTCGTATGAATCAGATGACAGTCCATTGCCTTCTCCCTCTTCCTCTTCGCTTTCATCAGCAGAAAATGCAGAGAATGATTTCAACTCACACGAACTTCCTAATGAATCACCTGAGACCCCCTCCTCATCAGCACTTTCAGAAGGTGACCCTTCTCCAGGACCAGCCAATACATCAGGAAGTGCAATGCGATCATCAAAGTATATAGATATTTTGTTCCCATTACTTAAGGCAGCCTTCACCATTTCACAAACATCTGAATCCTTTTCAAGAACACATAACCCAACATCCAAATCAGTCTCATATGAAGGCTTCAGCCACAACATCTGTTTACACCCCTGATAGCCATACCCCTTGAACAGAGTATCAAGGTCACACAAGTTGACATAGTCTGCATCCATCTTAGGTAAGTCATCCACTCTCCCATTTACATAAGTCAGCTTTCCTTTGTCATTCCTAACCAACACACCCCCGTGATGATATCTTATGACTATATATTCTTCCATCTGCATAGAAAACAGAACATAATCGTTTTTTACACTACCATCATATTAATTTACAATATCATACAACTAATCAAAACTCAATTTACAAATGTATACCTTGAAATTAGGGCACCCAAAGAATGCCCTATTTGGGTTTCTCTCTGTTTTGGAGGTATAGACGATTGTTTGCCTCCCACATTTGCACCTTCGACCGCCAGGTAGTCCCTTTGTTCTACAACCAAAAGACGTACTCCCACTTGATCCCCCCAAGCCAGATGACATACTCATCTTCTTCTACGCACCAGAAAATAGCCAGTAAACACCTTCTACTTGACACTCTATTCAATCTTCATCGTGGGGAGCTTTTGGGGTTTTTTTTGTTCATGGCTTAGGCTGGGTTCCTAATTTGACAGGGACGAATTTGGGTCACTGACCCTTTCATGCAAGGGTCACATGTCCAAACATTGGGATAGACACAAGACATCTACCTAAACGACGTCGCTTTCTATCCACGTGGCCAGGATGTTAGTGAGTCAGCCACTTAACGTTCCACCTGGCCTCCGTCAACAGGGTCGTCACAATCCATGTAACAGAAGGACAAACGTGTCCCTTTTTTTCAAAAATTAGACACTGAAATGTGACTTTTTTAAACCGAGGGACTAAATTGTGCTTCGCAAATACTTCCAGGACTAAAAAGGGTATTTACTCATGTTATAACTATGTTCTATCGTGAGAACATAGTTATAAATGGTAGCTGTAGATAGTTTTATCTAAAGTGATTGTAAAAATATTTACCGCATATATACATGTATATATATATATATATTTGATGTTTGTCATTTTAAATTACATAAGTTATGTCATTTTAAGAGAGAGATAGACACAAGAAACGAAAATCATGGAAGAGAAAGTGGTTGATTTTTTTTAATTTAAATTTTAAATAAAAAAATTTATTTTGTGTCTATCTCTCTCTTAAAATGATATAACTTTATGTCATTTAAAATGACAAATACTTTTCACACACACACACATATATATATAGGGCTTATCATTTCTCAAGCTGCCGGAGATAATTTTATCTCCAGCTACTAAATCATAATCGTACAAAGATGGATCAATGGTAATGAAGGAAGAGAGAGAAAAAGGGAATTATAACCATTCAAGGGTGAATCAATCAATATAAGGAAATAAATAAACAAAACGACGTAGTTTTGGAGTGGCCGAAGATAAACTTATCTCAAGTTGCCGGAGAAATGTTTTTCCCATATATATATATATGGGCTTATCGTTTCTCAATGTTGAGATATATAGTCCTACATTGGTTGAAGAACAACTAATGTGGAGTTTATAAGACCTTGGGCACTCCCACC